TCTTCTTCTTCTTCTTCTTCTTCTTCTTCTTCTTCTTCTTCTTCTTCCTTATTAATTAAGTATATAGCTTGTTTGTACATATTTGTTTGTTGTCTCTTCTATTAGATTGTGAGTTCCCTGAGGGCAGGGTCTGTCTTTTGCCCCTTCTTGTATCCACCCACATTTAGCACAATGCCTGGCATATAGTAGGTACTTAATAAATGTTTATTGACTGACTGATTCTCACTCCATAACTTTCTGCAGTTTGTCTTCTGACTTTGTGGCTCAACTGAAACAACTCTCTCCAAAATCACCAGTGATCTTTTTAAATCAACTACCAACCACTGAACTACCAAATCTAATGTCCTTTTCTTAATGTTCACACTTCTTGACCACTATAGCTTTTGACATTGTCTATCATCTTCTCCCTGATAGTCTCTTTTCTCTAGGTTTTCATGAAACTACCCTTTCCTGGGTCTCCTTCTACCTATCTTATTACTCTTTCTCTTTAAAAAAATTACATTATTTTCCAGTTACATGTAAAAACAATTTTTAACATTTTTTTTATTTTAAGTTCCAAATTCTCTCTTTCCCTCTCCCCCCTCCCCTTCCTGAGAAGGCAAGCAATTTGATATTAATTATGTGCAGTCATGCAAAATTTCCATATTACAATTTCTCCTTCTCAATCTCATTTGCTAGATCTTCATTTGAGTCAGGCCCAATAACAGTAGGTGACTCTCAAATTTTTGTCCTGGGCCATCTTTTTTTCCTTTCTATATTGCTTTACTTGGTGATCTTATCAGCTCCTATGGATTCAACTATCTCTATACTGAAGATTCTAAGATCTATGTATCCAACCCTGAACAATCTTTTCACTTCTAGTATTTCATCCCCAGATACATATTGGACATCTTGACCTGCATGTCTCATAGACGTTTTAAAGTCAATGTATATATAGTTGAATTTTCCTCCTAAGCCTTACCCATCTTTCTAATTTTCCTTTTACTGTTGAGGGCACCTCTATCTTCCCAGTTACTTAGGTACCATCCTCAGCTCCTTAACTGGGGAATGGCTGTTATTCATATTCATAAGAAAACTTAAAGTGGGAAACCGTGGGAAAGGCCTAAATCCAACATTTTTAATACCTAGAACAATGTGGGAATATTAAAGATCATCCTTAAAGCAGAATAAGAAAAATTAGAGTTAGATTAGGTGTTAATTTAAAAAAAGATGAAATTCATGTTCTCAGAAGCACTTAATTAATACCAAGTATTTGTTTTTTTTTTAAATCTTGCTCTAAGCCATATATCTTTCTTATCATAGTAATTATAGTGGGGGCAGCTAGGTGGCGCAGTGGATCGAGCACCAGCCCTGAAGTCAGGAGGACCTAAGTTCAAATCCGGCCTCAGACCAAACACTTGACAATTACTAGCTGTGTGACCCTGGGCAAGTCACTTAACCCCAATTGCCTAAAAAAAAATAGTAATTATAGTCAATGGTTTGTGCCTATTATTTTAATAAAAGGTATATTTTTATATAAAAGCTTAATTTGTACCTTGTAGTATGTTGTTTTCATTATCCACACATGTAAGAAAGTCAGCTATTGCATTAATGCAGATATATCCCAAGATTTCAGGATGAACATAGTGGTGGTTGCCTGAATTACAGGTCTAATATCTCAGTGGAAAGGGACAGCTTTTGAAAAGCTAACTTTACAATGTTTAACTTCTGTAAGTGATACCAAATAATATAACTGTTAAAATGATTTTTTATTGGTTCAATGTTCATGTCCACTTATAATCCAGAATATGACTTTTGGAACTTCCAAAAAGATCCTTAGCCTTTCAGTACATCTAGGATTGGAAACAGAAAAAGACAATGTGTGGAACGTGCAGTGTTAACCATAGAGATGCAGTTCAAGTGAAACCTTTTATTTTATTTCCAGGGTAGCATGAGGGTAATGAATTCGGAGTGTGGAATAAAAAAAGCAGATGCTGGAAGGAGAAAAGAGAGGTTCCAAAGAAAAATTTCATCCAGTTAACAACTTTGCTTAGGGCTAGCACTGTCTTCAGGGAGAGAATGCATTTTCTCCAATCTGATTTTTTCCCCTTTTGTGCTTTTAAGGACACATTGAGATAACAAAGCTTCTAATAGCCTATGGAGCCAGGCCCTGTTTGGTGACTGATGTGGGTTGGACCCCAGCACATTTTGCAGCTGAATCAGGTCGACTAGGAGTGCTCAAAGTTCTCCACATACTGCATGCTGCTATTGATGCCCCAGATTTTTTTGGAGATACTCCAAAGAGGATTGCACAGATCTATGGGCAGGAAGAATGTATGGCATTCCTAGAAGGGTGAGTTTCATTTTATTCTCAGGTGTTTACTAGTTATGTGATCCTGGGCAAGTCACTTAACCTCTTTTAGGCCCTTTTAGGCTCTTTTAGGTAAAATGGAGATAATGATGTCACCTATATCACAGTGTTATTGTGGGAATCAGATGAGATAACAAATGTAATGAAATCTTAAAGTCATTTAAGGGGGGCACGGAGCCAGTCCTAATATCAGTTTAAGAGCAGACTGATGACTGAGATCTCAGGTGGGTTTTATACTTTTAGCTAAAGTTGTGTACCACATAAGTTGATTGGCAGTTTACTTCAAAATTACTGATAAAGTTGTATAATAATATTTTCTCAGTAGTCTATCTTACCAGAAGGTCTACAGATATTTCATCAGGTGTTCAAGAATATGCAGATGTTGCTTACTAAGTCATACCACACAAGTATTTATCTTATTATTGAAAAACAACTGATAGAAAAACACTGTACTCAAAAGAACTCAATCGGTCACAAAATAGAGGCTTAAAAATGGAATCAATTATGCTTAGTTGATGAACTATCTTATAGTAATAAAATTTGCTCTCACTGTATTATCAGTTATACTAAATTTAGCAAGCTTGTTCCTACTAGCTTATTGAGATATAAAACTTATTTTCACTAAACTAGTTGAAGAATAAGTCTAATGAAACATATGTGCTGTAAGCATTTGAAACCATCAATACTTAAGAATACCAGAATTTTTCCATTCCATGCTTTGTTTTCAAGGCTAGTGTTTACTCACTAGTCAAAAACCAGTCGAAAGTAAAGAGACCTCTGGAATCCGGAAAGTCAGCGATTGTCCTTCAAAAGGTCATATTAACAGGTTGAGTCAGTTTACTTACCAGTCATGTGAGCTTTCTCCGTGTAATAAAAACTCATTCAGTTTCAGGCACATGGAACTCACATATGCTTTATAGTTTAAATTTTGGAAAAAAAAAACACTAAAATTGAGGAACCTCTTTGGGGACTTGGAAGAATATGAGGAAGGCCAGGTGGAAAACAGAGGCCTTCCTCTTCAGAACAGGTCTTTTATGTTTGTGTTAATTCTTTTGATAGCTTAGTTAACAGACAATCATCAGAGATATTTGTTGCAAATATTTTTCCTAGCTATATTAACTACAATTTATTTTATTCATTCAAAAGCTTTCCAATTTCATATAGTTGAAACTGTCTATTTTATCTTTTGTGATTGCCTCTATCTTTTTTTCTTATTTGGTTAAGAATTCTCCCCCTACTCATAGTGGTGAAAGTCACTTGATCTAATCCTTTTCTAATTGGTTGTTTAGGTGTGGTGTTTTATATTCAAATTATGTATTTATTTTAAGGTTATTGTGATACACAGCATGAAATTTGGTCTGAACCTAATTTCTGTCAGATTGCTTTCCAGTTTTCATATAACCATTTATAATGGCCTGTGACAGGTAAACAGTGAAAGGTTGAAGAGGCCAGATTATGAACAGAGATGCTGAGATCTTGTAAGCTGAGATCTTACAATCACTGAGGAGTCACCAGCAATTTTTGAACATGGGAATGACATGTTAAAAATCAGTATTATAGAGAGATTGATATGGCAGTTTTACGTATGATGATAATAATGTAGCACTCTCTTTGGGTTAGTCCCCACAACTTGCCATTAGTTGCTTGGGTCTCTATTGGGTAACTGCTACCCTTGGGGTATGCTGTTCGAGCTACTTATAACAGAGGCCATGAGTCCCCACTTATGTACCTTATATTAACAATCAGACAGGTGATATAATCAGCTCAAAGCAAAGGCATTTGCTAAAACTACATAGTGGAAACAAAGCTAAAGTACAATGGTGGTGAGGCACATGTGTGAGAACCCTCCTCTTCTAGAACTGGCTGGCAACAAAGTCCTGTCTTGTGGATTCTTCACAAATCTCCTCTATGGGCACATTATCTCTCTGGGTTTGGTTCTTCAGCTGGGCTTCCAGGGTCTGTTCCCTTCTGCAGTTCAACTCTTGATTTCCAGGATGAGCTCCCTTATTGCATATTGTATGCCCCCAGTAGAATGTAAGGTCCTTGAGGTTAAAGACAGTTTCAGTCACATAATCAATTTTTATATGAGTAGGATGAAGGCATATGTAATATGCCTTTAGATAGCAAGGCAGATGGTTGGCTGAACATGGCTACCTATTGTCTATCATTAAAATTATGTGTGTGTGTGTGTGAACCTAAATTTCTATGGAACAAAGTTTGAGAAATGATGGACTCAGAGAACTTTAAGGTCTCCTCTAGCTTTAACATTCTATGATTACCTCTATTGTATAGTAAGGTCAATAAGTACTTTTTTGGTTGAATGACACACAAAAACCTATTGCTTTTTACAAGTGATGATGTCAACAAATAGGAACCACATAATTATATCCTTCACAGTTTGCCAACAGGAAATGTTCTTAAGTTTATAGATAAAATGTGGTATCTACAAATATGAAACTTGTAAGATACTATCTTTTACCATTAATCATGAGGGCTTTACCACCAGTCACATTTTACAAGACATGTATAGTGTGATAAAGTAAAACCATAGACCTGTGGGAAAAGAAAAGATTTAAGTGGTTAGGAGAGAAGATGGAAAACAACTGTAGCTTTCAAAAGTACACTTTTGCATCATGACTTCAATACAGTGAGAGATGGGACAGAATGAATAGAGAGCTGTCCTTGGTGTTGTCAACTGGATAGAACTGGCCTCTAACCTGTGGATGGCCAAAGCCAAACAGAGCAGGCTAGAGACAGGAGAATCAGAAATCAAACAGAAGTTTAATTTCAAAGTGAGAGAAACAGCTTACAAGCAAGGACATGAGTGCTGGGGCCCCACCCCTAGTGAGGGGACCTGAGGGTCAATGTGGGGAGATTTCAATAGTTATACCAATGGCTATGAATTGACCTGTAACCCTGTCAATGAGGGATAACAGCAACAATGAAACAAGTTTGATTCATAGGAGGGCTTCATGACCGGAACATGGGTACTTGTCCCATGCTTGTCTAAGCTCAGAGAACACCTGGTGCTGGTCAAATCAATACAATAATTATTTGATTTTGCCAGAGGGTGAGATCATCTGGAGGGTTAGCATGAGGATGAGTGCAATGGATTGTTATGCCAAGCTCAGGGCACAGCTTGCTTGCTGGGCCTTAGCTCTGGAAAACAAGGTATCTCCTAATATCTTGACAGTGTTAACAAAATCTGGGTTCGGGTTCTACCTCTGACACATACTGACTGTGTAATCTTGGGCAGGTCAATTAAGCACATCACTTTTCTGGGCAGTTCTAAAATTAAAAGTTGCAAGGAAGCTTGCCAAAATATATCGGGTTTTGTTTGTTTTTGAATATTTTATTTTTCCCAATTACATGTAAAAACAATTTTAAACATTCATTTAAAAAATTTGAGTTCCAAATTCGTCAATATACATTATTACAGGGAATATATCTGGGAGTTACTTATGCCAATCAAGGCACGGGCCCAGTCCTGCTTCCTATTTCTTACTTCAATAGGATGATGGCACTATGATTAACATCAAAATTATTCAATAATTGTTTTAAATCCCTGGAGAGTTTTTTTTTGTCTTGATGGACTGAAAACACATTAAAAAAGGTTTTTACTTAATTCTTATACTGTGACTTTGAGGTAAGAATAAGGAATATTGACCCTGATTCAATGACAAAGGAGATAAAAATAGCATATTTCTCTAACAATGTTGTTTAACTAAAGTGAGGTGAAAAGTTGCGCACCTCAAGTAAATTGGGCTTGATTAACTAGCCAATCCATTTCACTTAGGCCAAAGCTTGCTCTTTTTTGAACAAATTATCTCTGCCCCCTGACTTGGTATTGGAGATGTCATAGAAAGCTGGAGCTGAAAGGGGTCTTGGAGAACATCTAGTTCAACTTCTTTACTTATAGGTGAGGACTCTGAAACCTACAGAAGTAAAATGACTTCTTTCCTTTCTTTACGTGGATCCTCTTTTCTTTTTTCTAGAGCAAAAGGGGCTATTTATTCTTGAATAACCTGGTGACAGAGCCTTCTTGGGACAAAATTCACTAGCTTATCTATCATATTAATCCATACATATATATATATATAGTTTACTTTGCATATTTCTAAGCATAAATGTTCTTTGATTTTTATTTCTAATAATTTTATTCTCCCCCCAATTACATGTAAAAACAATTTTAACATTCATTTTTTTGAAGTTTTGAGTACCAAATTCTATCTTTCTCTCCCTCCCCATATGACATGGGTTATACATGCAAAATGTATTTCCAAATCAGTCATTTTGTGGACATAAACTCAAACAAAGGAAGAAAGAAAAAAAGAAAGAAAGAAAGGAAAGAAGGTAGGAAGGAAGGAAAGAAAGAGAAAAAGGAAGGAAAGAAGGAAGGAAGGAAGGAAGGAAGGAAGGAAGGAAGGAAAAATTGCATGCTTCGGTCAGTATTCAGATACTATCAGTTCTTTCTCTGGAGGCAGATAGCATTTTTCATCATGAGTCCTTTGGTGTTATGTTGGTTCATCATAATGCTGAGAATAGTTAAATTATTCACAGTTGATCATCATACAACATTGCTGTTACCACGCTCAATGTTTTTCTGGTTCTGTTCACTTCACTTTGCATCAGTTCATGTAAGTCTTAACCAGGTTTTTCTGAAATCAGCCTGCTTGTCATTTCTTATAGCACAATAATATTCTTTACCATTATATACCACAGCTAAATTTTTTATGTACTAAGCTCCGGCAGTCATTTAACTGCTTCTTTGAATTTGCAATTCAACATACTAGTTCAGCCACTTCTCAATTGATGTACATCCCCTTAAATTCCAATTCTTACCCACCATAAAAAAGCTGCTATAAATATTTTTGTACAAATAGGTCCCCCCACCTTTTTTTTTATCTCTTTGGTTCCTTGATTTTTAGAATGCATCTATTCCAGCACAGCTAACTATAAAGGCAAAATTCAGTAAAATGAATCCATTTTTTACTGAGTTCCATTATAATATTAGAGATATATTCTCAAAGAATTAAATTCTGATTAAGTCAGTAGATCAAACTTTTAAAAATGCACTTTTGATGAATAAGCACTGAAGATTTCTTATAGCAAAGAATAATATTGTGCTATGAGCCATTCCCTTTGCCAAGTTTGAGAACCGTAGCTCTAAATCTTAATAATTTCTATTTGTGATTCATAATATCATGACTCCACATTTGTATACACAAAACTTAGTTCCCCTCATTAATCCATATTTCATACAGCTGCAAACTGATATTTCTAAAGCATAGGTCTGATTTGGGAACTTCTCTGCCCTAGAAAGTTAGTGCCTTCTATCACAAAATTGCCTGCTAATTATTTTGTATATACTTTCACATATCCATGTTGTCTTCTTGATAGAATGTAATTTCTCTGAGGGGAGGGACTGTTTCATTTCTGTCCTTGTATCTCCATTGTTTGGCACAGTGCCTGCCCCATAGTAAGTGCTTAGTATGATTATTGGTTAAATGATTGATTGACTCTCAATTGCCTTTAGGATAAATTATAGACCCCTCAGTTTGGCCTTTCAAGACCTTCACATTCTAGCTTTTATCCAGCTTTATTGACCAATGACATATTTCTCATCCATGTGTATTCTATGGCCCAGCCAGACTACTTTACTTTTATATAACATCTCATCTCATGCTTCTATGTTTTCATCCAGGGTCTCCTATGCACAGAATGCTCCCCCTTCTCATCTCTGCCTCTTGTAACCTCCAGTTCAAAGTTCAGCTCAAATGACACCTCCTTTCTTGATTCTTGATTTTCCTAGCTGATAGTGATGCCTTCTCCTGTCCATGATTTTGTACTTTGCTGTTGAGTCGTTTTCACTCATGTTCAACTCTCTGTGACTCCATTTGGGGTTTTCTTGGCAAGGATACTGGAGTGGTTTATCATGAACTTTTCCAGCTCATTTTACAGAAGAGAAACTGAGGCAAACAGGGTTAAGTGACTTGCTCAAGGTCACACAACTGGTAAGTGTCTGAGGTAAGATTTGAAATCAGGTCCTCCTGACTCCAGACCTGGTGCTTTATTCACTTCACCACTTAACTGCCACGATTGTATGTGTGTGTGTGTGTGTGTGTGTGTGTGTGTGTGTGTGTGTATACTCTAGATTTACTTATCTGTGACCACGCTGAATCCCTTTAGTATACTACAATCTCCTTGAAAGCAGGAACTGTTTTACTTTTATATTTGTATCCCAGTGCCTAGTACCATGCCTGGAAAAGAGTAAGGGCTTAAAACCTGTACAGTGATTGATTGATTGATTTTTGCCTGAGCATTTCTCATATCTAAAAGACAGGTTGAGATGTCCAAAACGTCACCCATGGCCAAGAGTTACAGCCACTTAACATGCCTGATCATTGATTTGGTGATAGAAGGGAAGCTGGAGGTCATCTAGTCCAAGCTCTTCATGTCACAAATGAGGAGACTGAGGCCCAGGGAAGTTAAGAGACATGTGTAAGTTCACATAGATAATAAGCATAAGATGCTTTAGGCAAAGAGTTATTTACTGTCTCTGCATCATGAACCTTTGGGCAGTCTGATGAAACCTAAGGACCTCTCCTCAGAATAAGATTTTAGAGTGCATAAAATAAAATACATGTGATTACAAAGGAAACCAAGTATATTAAAATGTATGAATTTTAAAAACCCAAAAAAGCAAACAAGTTCATAGATCTCAAATTAAGAATATCTACATGTAGCCTAAAAATGTGTTAAATCAAGACTTCAGGGTCTATCAAACAAATGAACAACCAGCGTTTCATTCTTTCCAGTTGGGTAAATCTGTAAAATATCCTGGTTTGTTTTGTTTGGGAATGCCTATATTTGTTTTTTCATTCAGGCACTGTGTTCTTATTGCACTAGAGGAAGGGAAGGGAAAAGAAGTGTTTTACATAGTACCTACTGAATGCCTGGCACTGTGCTAAGCTCTTTACAAATATTATCTCATTTGATCCTCACAACAGTCTTTCTGGGTATGTGGTGTTATTATCTCTATTTTATAGTTGAGGAAACTGAGGCAAAGAGAAGTTAAGTGACTTGTTGAAGGTCACGTAACTAGGAAGTGTCTGAGGCCAAATTTGAACTCAGATTTTCCTTACTCCAGGCCTCATTCTTTTTATTTTTTTTTTTTACTTTTAGGCAATTGGGGTTAAGTGACTTGCCTGGGGTCACATACCTGGTAAGTGTCAAGTGTTTGGTCTGAGGCCAGATTTGAACTCAGGTCCTCCTGACTTCAGGGCAGGTGCTCTATCCACTGTGCCATCTAGCTGCCTCCAGGCCTCATTCTTTATTCATTGCTCCACCTAGCCTGAGTTATCTTCAGAGGCAAGAGAGCAATAATTTCAGAGGTGCTTTTGAAATGGTAAATGGCCTTCCTCTTCTTTTTTCTAGGGCTGAAGTTGAGTGTCAGGCCTTTCGATTAACGGCCCAAGAGGAAGGGCTGCCATTGGATCAGAAAGATGAAGAATGGGAACTCAAGAAACAAGAACTTGAAAAGACTTTCCCCTCTCTAAATCAAAACAAAAATAGGAAAAAGATTAAGAAATTTCAAGGCCCTCACCAGACTCCATGTGGTCAGGTTCGTTTACACTGAGACTCTTGTGGCCAGCTTGGCAAGGGAAATCACACAGTTAAAGCTAGATATTCTCAAATAATTGAATCTTATTCCAGGGGTGTGAAAAAGCCTGTTTTTACAAGGTAAACTTTTCCTAGGGCTCAGTTAAGAGCAATGACTATGCTACTTCTTTGTTAGATTTGCATACACTTATATAGACTGGCATGTAGAATTCATTTCCCAGGGTTGGCCTGTACCAGGCTCCCTAATAAATAGATCCCCCTGAAGGATTACTTGGTAAACCTATAACTGGGCTGGGACTGTACCTGTTATTTAATTGGCACGAGGAAGCCCCACATAAGGAAATTCTATTCATTTTGAACTTAAATGCAAAAAAAAAAAAAAGAACATGTACAACATAAAAAAAAGAGTCAATATAAAACCATAAATTTCCATTTCAGCTGTTTGCTTTTTTTGGAAAAAAGTATGTAATAAATACTATACATTATTTTCAAAGCTATTCTACTTTTCTGTGATTCCTTCTGTTTGTTCTCTGCTCTGCACTTTTTATTTTTTCTCTCTTTCCCTCACCACCTTGCCCTAGAGAAGGCTAGCTACCATTAGACACAAATATGTATATGTATATGTATGTATATGTGTATTTATGTACATATGTATGTGTGTATATACACACTCACATCAATACACACATATATACGTAAAACCATACTGTACATGTTTCTACTTATCACTTCTTTCTCTGGAGGTGGACAGCTTCTTCCTTCATAGGTCCTTAGTAGTTTATTTGAGTATTTATAGTGCTCAAAATGACTTAGTCGTTCAAAGTTGTTCTTAGAACAATTTTGCTGTTACTGTGTACAATGTTCTCTTGGTTCTACTCATTTTACTCTTCATTATTTCAAGAGGAAACTCTCTCTACCAATTCCGACTGGCATCTTCTATGCAACTTAATGGGCAAAGGAGTTGCCTAGGACACTGAAAAGTTGATAATTGTCACATTTTGTGGCGTTCGTATGGCCTTGAATATACTTTTTGTTTCCAGGTTTGGCCTGTATCGTGTCTCCCCAACCAATAGGTTTCCTGGTCAACCCATAAATCAGCTGTTGCCACCTTAGGGAGAAGAGAGCTTGGTTGGCAGTCATATTCTTTTATCACTAGTTGCACCCTTAAATTCTCCCTCTTTCCTCTGTCCCAGGTAATCATGAAATTTCATGGAGATCAATAGTAGAATATCATCAGTAAATGATAAGGGGATGTCTACTCAAGGCTAAAATCCCTAATTGGTTTTATGTCATAGACAAAGCAACCTATCAAAATTTCATAAGAAATTATTGTTATTCTAGTCTGTTTCACAGTCCTGCTGTGTTCAGCACCTATCTCAGTGCATCACATAGAACAGGCATTCAACTAATCCTTTGGAGATTGAATTGGTCCCCCTGGTACATTTATGTCAAAATAAAGGATAATAATCAAAACTATAATTGGTGCTCATATAGCACTTTCAAGTTTGCAAAATGTTTCATGGAAATTATCTCATTTGAGCTTCATAACAATTCTGTGAGGCTAGTAATGCAGATATCATTTTCTCTATTTAACATAGAAGGAAACTGCAACACAAGAAGCTAGGATCCTTCAAGAGAAACTTATGGAAACAGGATGCTCAGACAACACAATAGTACATGATGACACAATTAGTAGCAGCAATATTAGTCCAGCAGAATGGGAAGCATTTGCCTAAAACACTTCAGTGATCTGCCTTTAACACTGAGGTAGGATGATGTCATAGATTGTTGGAATGAGACTCAAGGGTTTTGCTTTTCTGAAAACTAGCTGTATGACCTTGAACAGATCACTTCTTCTCTCCATACCTCATTTACTTCCTACATCTATAAAATGAAAAGACTGAATTAGGTTCCCTTTTGGTTCTAATATTCTAGAATGAAATGTGGTCTGGGGGACTGCATCCTTCCTCATCACTAAAGAAAACATTCATTTTCATAGGCCAAATAATTAACACTAGGGTTTGGGGGTATTGAAAAAAAGACTAAATTTAGAGTCAGAGGACCTGGGTTTGAACCCTTGTTCATAGTGGAACCCAATGTCATACTGGACAAGTCACTTAAACTTTCTGAGCCTCAGTTTCTTCACCTATAAAATGAAGGAGTTGGACTAAACAGCCTCCAAGAGCCCTTCCATTTCTAAATGTATGATAACATAATATGTGTTTCTTTTGTATATTCATAGAAAAATTCAATATTCCAGAGTTGGAAGGGTCTAAGAATTTAGCCACTGCTCTCTTCTGTTCCACAGTTCTACTTGTTTTATGAGAATGTGGATATGTATGCCATATTATTGTGGTTCCTAGCCACAAGTACAATTTTAGAAAAACTGGGTAAAATGTTAGAAGTAGGAATTTGACCCTCTACAACTCATAACAAACCTAACCTCTGCCTTAGGAAGTCATTTTAATGGCTCTTCTTTTTATAGACCATTCTGTATGTTTTTGTTTCTCCAATTTGTACATGAATCAATTCCTCCAGACTCCATTTTATCTGCATTCTGCATTAAAAAATGGTTCTAGGTATTGCTGTTATGCACTTGTCTGGTGTGAGTTCTTTGAAAGAAATTTTTGAAAATTCTTTCAACTCTTGTGGTCTCCTTTCTCCCCATGAAAAGTATTCAAGGATTCAAGTGTCTACTCTGGTCCTTAAAGGATGTTAAAGAGCCAGAGATGGTGGAGCAAAAGCAGTGACTTGCTTGAGCTCTCCCTTAAACCCCTCAAAATACTTTTAAAAATGTCTCTAAACAAATTCTAGAGGGGGCAGCTAGGTAACACAGAGGATAGAGCACTGACCTTGGAGTCAGGAGGACCTGAGTTCAAATCTGGCCTCACACACATTACATCACTAGCTGTGTGATCTTGGGCAAGTCACTTAACCCTAATTGCCTCACCAAAAAGCAAAAAAAAAATTCTAGAGCAGCAGAACCCATAAAAAGACAGAGTGAAGCAAATTCCCAGCCCAAGACAACCTAGATGGTTGATTGGAAAGGTATATTGCGTTGGGCTGGGAAAGAAGCACAGTTCAGTGAGGGCATGTAGGCAAAGACCAAGCCTCAGTGAACCTGGAGCAGGCCTCAGGGGACTGAATCATGGGGAGCTGTGGTGGTTTCCAGACTTCTTAACCCACAAATGCCAAAGACAACTTAGAAGGTCAGTAGGAAAAGTCTGTGGCCTTGGTGAGAGAGAAACTTGGTCCAACACTCAATCCTGGCACAGCCCCCAGAGCTACTTCTGGAGCTCTCGACCTACAGAATGAGGGAGAATCGAGTGACTGATCAGAGGGAGATTACAGAGATCTCTTTGCTGGTGCTGAGGCAGGAATCTCTTGCTTTGCCCCTGCTTGAATCTGGGTCACAGTTCTGAGTGCCAGTCCTGGGGTGAGGAGGAGCACTGGCATGGTGGAGCTTGTGGTGGCAGTGGAGAGGGAATCCTCCTCACAGTTCCAAGGCAGAAAAGAATGCTTGTGGTCACTCATAGACCAGAACACAGGCCAGGAAAAAAGTAAACACCTCACCTTTGATCATACCACCTTGGAAGAACTGAAAATTTACTGGTCCCTAGAAGTATCTCAGAAAAAGTAGCTGCACAAAACCCCTGGAGCTTGGGACAGTATATCTCCATACTGGAAGCAGACCCCTACCTTAACAAAGAGTTTAAAACTCAAGTAATTGGCTGGGAACATGATCAAACTATGCAAAAAAAAAAATGCCAGACCATAGAATCTTTCTTTGGTGACAAAGAAGATCAAAACATACAACCAGAAGAAGACAACAAAGTCAAAGCTCCTACATTCAAAGTCTCCAAGAAAAATATGAATCAGTCCCAGCCCATGGAAGAGCTCAAAAGGGATTTTGAGAAATGAGTAAGAGAAATAGAGGAAAAAGTGGGAAGAGAAATGAGAGTGATGCAAGAAAATTATGAAAAACAAGTCAACAGCTTGCTAAAGGAAACCCAAAAAAATACTGAAGAAAATAATACCTTAAAAAATAGACTAACCACATGTTTTTTAGTCAGTGGCTGGTGCTAGCATGTTTGCACACTGCACTCCTTTCCTGCCCCACACTCTGTTCCTCTGTCGCCACCATCACTGCTGCCTCTTTCTGGTCCCTCCCACCACCACCATGGGCTTCAGAGATCTCAAGACACCTGCGGGCTTGCAACACCTCAACAACTTCCTGGCAGACAAGAGCTACATCAAGGGGTATGTGCCATCCCAGACTGACATTGCAGTATTTGAAGCAGTCTCAGGACTACCACCTGCCAAATTGTATCATGCTCTCCATTGGTATAACCACATTAAATCCTATGAGAAGCAGAAGGCAAGCTTGCCAGGAATAAAGAAGGCTTTGGGCAAGTATATGCCTGCTGATGTAGAAGATACCACAGGAAGTGGTGGAGCTACAGATAGCAAAGATGACGATGACATTGATCTCTTTGGGTCTGATGATGATGAGGAAAGTGAAGAAGCAAAGAGGCTAAGAGAAGAATGCTTTGCTCAGTACGAATCAAAGAAATCAAAAAACCCTGCAATTGTTGCCAAGTCTTCCGTCTTACTGGACATAAAACCTTGGGATGATGAGACAGATATGGCAAAATTGGAGTAATGTGTCGTAAGCATTCAGGCAGATGGCTTGGTCTGGGGATCTTCTAAACTAGTTCCAGTGGGATATGGCATCAAGAAGCTTCAGATACAGTGTGTAGTTGAAGATGATAAAGTTGGGACAGATATACTAGAGGAACAGATAACTGCCTTTGAAGACTATGTGCAATCCATGGATGTTGCTGCCTTCAATAAGATCTAAAAATTACCATCCTCAAAAGTTACATTTAAATAAAAACATTTGCAAGCAAGGAAAAAAAAAATAGACTAACCCAAATGGCAAAAGAGGTCCAAAAAGCCAATGAGGAGAAGAATGCCTTAAAAAGCAGAACTGGCTAAATGGAAAAGGAAGTCCAAAAGCTCATTGAAGAAAATACTTCCTTAAAAATTAGAATGGAGCAAATGGAAGTTAGTGACTTTTTGAGAAATCAAGACATTGTAAAACAAAACCAAAAGAATGAAAAAATAGAAGACAGTGTGAAATATCTCATTGGAAAAACAACTGACCTGGAAAATAGATCCAGGAGAGATGATTTAAAAATTATTGGACTATCTGAAAGCCTAGACATCATCTTTCAAGAAAATATCAAGGAAAACTGCCCTCATATTCTAGAACCAAAGGGTAAAATAGAAATGGAAAGAATCCACTGATCACCTCATGAAAGAGATCCCCAAAGGAAAACTCCTAGGAATATTGTAGCCAAATTCCAGAGTTCCCAGGTCAAGGAGAAAATATTGCAA